AGTAGCCAGAACGCACGTTTTGGCCTACTATGCAAGGCCTGATTTGCCTAATAAGCAAGTTTTTCTGAAATAATATATTTCTATAATTGTTCTATGAAATGATTAAAGCTACCAATTTCATATGTATGAGGTCAATTTTTTTTTATTGGAGTTAAATTAACGTAGATATATGACCGAACCTAACCAACCCTACCTAACCTAACCTAACCAATCTTTATAGGTTGGTTAGGTTAGGTAGCCCGAAAAAGTTAGGTTAGGTTAGGTTAGGTAGGTTAGGTTGTCGAAAAACAATTAATCATGAAACTTGGCTTATTAGGCAAATCGGGCTTGCATAGTAGGCTGAGAAGTGCGTTCTGGCTACTACGTACGACATATATATATATATATATTATATATATATATATATATATATATATATATATCTATATATATATATATGTATATCTACATAGCCTCTAGGAAGCGAAACTTTTCTTGTGTCCTCTTAATGTTCATTTTTTGTATAAAATCAGATATGTAACTGTATAACCTTGCATAATAAAGTGTACCTCATAATAAAAAAAAAGGGGGTGGTAGGAGAAGTGAACACTCTTCGTATTCAGAGTTAAATGTCAAGTTTTCCCTGAGTGCTCTGTGTTCCCTTCTCTGAGGCTGTGGGTCCCTATAATTGCACCAGTGGTGGTACCCCCCCCTATATATAGATATATATATATATATATATATATATATATATATATATATATATATATATATATATATATATATGTGTGTGTGTGTGTGTGAGATCCATAACCTTTAAGAACCTTTTTGTATTATTATTTTTGTATCAACCCATGTATGTCTTGTAACCATCAAATACATAATAAAGCACAACAAATAAAAAAGGAAGGGGGTAAAGGGAGGGGGTGGTAGGAGAAGAGCACACAGAAACTGTATTGGAGGGGATCTAAACATTCCCTCTAATGCGTTATGTGTGGTTTCCTCCGAGGCTATGGGACCCCCTTCTTCCAGCCAGAGGTGGTACTCCCTTCCATATTAATAGAAACAAAATATATATATATATATATATATATATATATATATATATATATATATATATATATATATATATATATATATATATATATATATATATACACACACACACACACACACACACACACACACTGTACATGTGTAATTCACGAATATTAACACGTGATGAAAAAATATGACAGTGTCTGACCACGAAGGGAGAATTGAAACAGGAATTTCTTTAATTTCGTATTTAATAATACTTCTTCAGAAGGAAGTCCTTCTGAAATCCTAAATCCTATTTCCTTCTGATGTATTATTAAATACGAAAGTACTTAAGGAAATTCCTGTTTCAATTCTTCCTTCATGGTCTGACAGTCATATATATATATATATATAATATATATATATATATATATATTATATATATATATATATATATATATATATATAAAATAAATATATAATATAATTTCTCTGGTATATCTTTGCATCCTAACACATTTTCATGAAAGAGAAATATGTGAGATTTGCGTTTTAAATTAGTTGGGCTGGGAATGATAGGTGGGGTTGGAGTGGTAGAGGGGAAAAGAGGAGGGGAATAGGATTATGGGATGAAGGGGAGTGGGATTATGGCGTGAAGAGGGGGATATATATATGTTATGGGGAAGGAGAATAAGAGGGGGGTACGGAGTGGGGTCTTGGGTGGATTTGGGGGGAGGATAGAGAGGGAGGGGGATTGAGGGGAATGAGGAAGTAGTGGATGAGGGATATGAGGAGAATAGATAAGAGATACGGAAGGATGATAGCTAGGGAGGGGTTGTACTGTGATAGGGGAGGGTGATAGGTACACCCTACCCTCAAGGAGGGTAGGGTGTACTGGGGGGAAACATCGCTCGAGCTCAGTGATGATGGACGATTAGTCGCGGTGAAATACGCGATACAAAGACGGAAGATTGAGTTTACATAGTTTACGTTGGGTTTACATAGTTTACGTTGGTTTACATTGGATTTACATACTTATAATTGAGCTTACATGGGGTTTACATTTTGGTTTACATATGGTTACATAGTTTACACTTGTGTTTACACAGTTTACATTGGGTTTGCATAGTTTACATGTTTTATATTTATTGAAGCGTCTTCACCTCCGTACACGGTAACCCAAGACGTAGATTATGACAGGCAAAAGCCTCATTAGCTGAAAGCTATAGTACCATTAATTTGATGATAATTAATGCTTAAAAATATAATAATTAATGAACCACAATTTAAAATATTAAATATTTATTTTTAGATTTGCCGTGATGCGTCTGTGACGTCTCTGCCGCCGATAAGGTAAGTACCTGCTTGTTATTACCGGGTCTTTAACTATCCGGTAGTTAATGTGTGCTGTGACGTCACTGCGGTCGTTAAGATAAGCACCCGCCTGTAATTACCGGGTCTTCAACTAGTTCACATAGTTACGTCGGCTGTGGGTGTCGAACCAGGTCTGGTTAAAGTACAGTATAGCGGATATGGTTAGCAATACCCCAGGAGGGGTATATACATCATACAATTTCATTAACTTAAGCCATCGAGGATTCGATCTAGAGGCTGAAACATTGACCATTTCTCTAGCCATGCGGCTAGGATTTATACACAGTGAGTCTCAGAAGTACCTAACTGGTGCCCAACTGAGAATTTAAACCTTTCTAGGAGCACCACTAAGGCACTTTTCTTCACACTCCCGCTCCGTTTCCATTTTCACCGATGGGTCTAAGTCAGCAGACGGTGTAGGCTACTCTGTTGTTTTTCCTGACCGCATTTATGTGTCGCCTACCTCTGGAGACGAGCTTCTTCACAGTAGAAATTTATGCTATTCTCTATGCTCTTCGTTTCCTACTTTCTCGTTGTCACTCCTCCTTTGTGGTTGTAGTTGACTCTCGTAGTGCCCTCATGGCTCTCGGGTCCTTTAATCCTGTCCATCTGGTGGTCGTCGAGATTCAACATGGGCAGTTTCATATTTCCAGTAAATTTAAATCCGTAGAGTTTTGTTGGGTTCCCGGCCATATTTAAGATATTCCTCTTTATCTGTACCCCACCATTCAAGTATCATACACACCTGTGACCAAGAAAGATAATGAGAATATTGCTCT